GAAGTCCAATAAGTATAGGATAGAAATATAAATTATAAATAGACCTAGAGAAATAGGTTTGTGTTAACTGCACAATGTTACTGAACAGGCCTTTGCTGAGGACTGGAAGAAACAGGAAAAACCACTGGCAAAACAACCAGTGGCCCCTTACCCAACTAGGAAAGACATGAACAATGGAAGAAAATATAACAAACTTTGAGAGAGTTTTGTGGATATGAAACCTCAATGAAAATTCAAAAGACTATAACTGACTTCCTGAATTAAGAGCTATACAGTTACCAGGACTTTGGGAGGCAGAAACAGAACAATTGCAAGTTCACACCTAACCTGAGAAACCTAACAAGGTAGCAAGACGTATTTAAAAAAAAATAAAGTAGAAAATGGCTGGGGACATAGATCAGTGCAAGGGTTCAGTCCCTAGTAATGCAAAAATAAATAAATAGAAGACAGATAGACAATAGATGATAGTTAGAAGATTGAAAGACAAAGAGACAGAGAGACACAGATGGACAATGGGATATGCCAAACCTAGATGTAGTATAAACTCTCAAAGTAATTCATTAATTCATATTATAATGAATGAAGTATTAAATAATGAATGAAGTATTAAATATCAGAAGAAATGTATGATTTTAATCCAAAAACTTGCAACATATATTTGGAACAAGATCTGCATAAATGAAAATCTAAGTGTATTATTTCATTTATTACACTTGATAAAAGGAGGCAATGAGAAAGAGAGTTTCATCTCTTTCCATCCCTACTTGCACCAGCAAGGATGACTAAAGTTAACTGGAAAGAAAACAAAGGCAGAAATGTCTTTGGAGAGACTAACACAGATTATCTTTTGCCAATTAATTCAGGGGCCCTAACTCTAGGATCAGGACTGTGATGTTTCCAAAGTATTGGCTAGGAGAATTCCCTGTGGCTAGATTCTATTTACAGTGCTTCTGACCCAGAGGTTTGATCACAAAGCCTTTTTCCCATTTAACAATACGGGCAATGAAGGGAAAGGAGACTAGATATATTTACATGGGGTAGTAAAAAGGAGAAGCACTGTATTAGGCACTTAAATTTAAGGTAGGCAGATATGCGTACAATTCTGGATCGTCAAGAATAAAAAAACCTCACAAAAGAGATGTGGGAATTTTCTGTGCACACAATGCACCTGAAGTCATGAACTGATGTCATTCAGACAAAAAGCAAAAATCGAAAGAGGAGTTCTGAGTATTAAGTGAGGGGTCAAGTAATATGAAACAGATAAACAAAAGCCTTCTTTTAGAAGGAGAATTCATAATACGATATCAAATATTCTGAGGAATCCAAAAGGAAAACAAATCCAGTAAAATATACTTTTCTTCAGTGGAAGATGAGATCTATGACTCAAATACTTATACTCAATAATCATCATCTTTTTAAATATAATGGTACAGTGGATACTATCATTAATCCAACAATATTCAAGTAATCTGATCAATTCAACGTACATTTTTGAACACCTACCATATGTCTGTTTCTGTGATAAATACACAGAGATCATCCTTATAACTAATTTGATATATTATCATTTGTTCATTTAATACACATTATGCACTACCTCATATTAAAGGACAATGTTGGATGCTTTAAATGCATGCACAAATGTTTAATGTACATTTTCTTTACTTAATCACATAGTTTTACTCCATGTTTGCATTGTGAAACACAATAGAAAGAGATAGTCCAACAGCCTGGTCCATCCATTGAGACTTCCTGAGAACAACTCTAAGCTTTAAGTGTCAGAGAACCCTGGACTAGAATTACAGTTCTACCATGTACCAGCAAAGTAGACTTGAGCACTTCTACTTTTTAAACTGGAGTATTCTCCCCATTAAGTGGGTATAAATGGCATCTAACAAGGTAAGAAAAAATAATTAAAATATTTCAGAGGATGCGTAAGGATTATTGTCTTTACAGTTGTTGTAATTATTACTAAGGAAGATAATCCAAAAGGTTTACTAAGTAAGATAATCCATGTGGGAGTTACTTAAAAAATTAGGAGAAAAATGATTTGAGCACCATTTTCAATACTGAACTATCATTGCACTCCTGTAGAGGACAGGGCTGTCAAGAGTGGGTTGGGATTCCAGAGGAAACAAAACAACATCCCATTTTACCCAGAATTTTCTCCAGACCATTTGTTTGATCTGCAGATGGCTGTAATATAACATTCCTTTGGTCAGAAGAAGGAAAGATAAGTAGGAATACGTCCACTCACTCTAGTGGCAAGGATTCTAGTAACCGTTTCTTGGTACCAGGCAAACACCAAGCAGAGATCAATTAGGCCAAGACCATACATACTTTGAAATCTGGTTTATGAAGCTGAGTTTGGCACACCAGTAATCCCAGCACTTCAGAGGCTGAGGCAGGAAGAGTGCTGCTGAGTTCAAGGTCAGCTTGGGCTAGAAAGTGAGCTCAAGGCCAGCCTGAACTGCATAGTGAAACCCTGTCTCAAAAAGACCAAAAAAATTGAAAATGATGAACTCATATAATATTTTTGAGCCTTTTGCGGTAGATGGGGCTTTCCGAGACCACTGGGAATGGTAATGCCTAAATGTTAGTGGCTTTTGACTTTCTGTGAATTGCAGATTTGGATTAAGAATGGACATTAAATTTACTAAACAAGGCCAGTCAAAGATAAGACTATCCAGTGTGAAGACAAAAGTAAATAACCTTAAATAATACAATTGGAATGGAGTACTCAAAATTTTGCAAAGGTCAATTGTGTAAACTGAGTGAACATACATAATTTACAAAAAGAAACACAAAGAAAACACTACTAATACATGTGATTAGCTATCATTTATATTTTAAAATAAAGTTGAAAATTTAAAGAACAGTTATAGTATTGCTTGTATATGTATGTAAAAAGCATTTTGTATTGCTTGTGAATCTAAAGAAAGACATTTCTTTGTTTTTTTTTTTTTTACTTCTATGACAAGATTCTCTTTAACACAAGGGAACAATGAATGAAACACTGAAGAGGACAAAATTAGATATGAAAGAAAATATATCTTTGCCAAAATAATTATTCTAGTCCCATAAGTTACTCTAATACTGGAAAAGAAATTTGAAATATAGGCCACTAACTTTTTTCACTGATAGCAAATATTAAAACTGGATTTGTGTTTCAGACTTTTCCCACTTTCTCCCTAGAGCAAACATAAGTGAATTACTGTTGTAAATTCTTCATATATATATTTTTTAACAAAGTCAGAACGCATTATACTAGAGACCAAACCACTAAGAACAGAAACACTAGAGATAAATTGCAGGAAACTCACAAAACATAAAGTACATTACATAAGAAGGCTTTGTCAATAAAATATGAGGCATTTGGTTAACTGGGACTCCAAAAGATAGCAATTTTCAAAGACATAGTTTTGAAAGGAAAAATAGAGCACAGTAAACTTACCCTATATCAAGGATTTAAAGTATAACACATTTTCCTAAAGATTGGCTAGATTTAAATTGCTAGGCACTGAAAATTTTTCCAAGGGTTAAAATTGTTACTTCAATTCCGATCCATTTAACTGCTGAGCTTTTTCAGAAGATAAGTGTTATCAAAAATTCACCATGTGAATTTGAAAAAGCTTGAAAATAGCTATACCAATTATTATCACACAATAATGGAAAAAGTAAAGCAACCATCAGCACTTTTTAAAACTTTTGATTACCCTCAGTCTGTTGCTCTTTGAGTCTCACTTCATTATGCTACATAATATTATTAAGAAGTATTCATATTCCCAAATTAAAAAGGGTAAAGCTAACAAACACACTTACTACATACCAAAGGTATTTGATAAATGCTGAATTAAAGTTTAGCATATGTAAATTTACTTTCTGAGGAGATGCTACAAGTCAACTTGCAATGCCAGTGTTATTTCTAATGTCTTCCAGGTTTTCAGGCCTACAAAGTCACTTTCCTATCACATTGTAGGAGAGATATTGAAATAAAACAAGACTGTCTGCAAAACCCTGAACAGGAAGAAGAACCAAAACAAAAGGCCAGGAGCTAATATTTTCTTGCCTGTGACTCCAACATATATGCAAGTGAACAACCACACACACACACTGGTGCACACAATTGCACCAATGTCTCCTTTTAAATTTTACTAATAAAAATCACCATATTAGTTATATACATTTCATTTAGTGTCTTCAGAGCAATGAAAATTGCCATAGATAAAAAAGCACTACATCATAGCAAAGGACGTGATAATCTTTACTGTGTATGCATCTAACAACAGTATCAAAATAGATGAGGCAAAATTTGATAGAACTGCAAGGACAAACAGATAAATTCATTATGATGACTGGGAACTTTAATATTCTGCTAAGCAAAAATAGGCAGACTCAGCAGGAAGCAAATCAGTAAAGCCACAACTGACTTCAAAAGCATCTTCAAGACAAATTGGAAATTACTGTTAAGGTGCTTCGTGCAACAAAGGATTACACATACTTCTGAAGAACCAAGTAACATTTACCAAGGCTGATCACCTTCTGGGACATAAGACAAATCAGCCTAACACATTTAAAAGAATAGAAATCAGGCACTGCCTGCTCCCAGATCATTATGGATTTAACGAGAATCCATTATTAGAAGGTGGCTAGAATTTTTCAAGTATGTGGAGATCAAGCAAGACACTTTAATATGTGGGTCAAAGATGAAATCTCAAAAGAAATTTTAAAATATTTTGAAAATATTTATAAAATAATACAAATTATCAAAATTTGTGCAATGCAGTAAAAGTAGTAATTAGAAGGAATTTTATAGCATAAATGAACCCAGTCATCTCTCAAAATCACTAAAATCTATAAAGCCAGCACTACTCTAAAATCAAACCTAAACAAAAATTACTAGAAAAATACACACCAATATCTCTCATAAATGTAAAATTAAATTTACAACAATATATTAGCAAATGAATCTAACAAAATACAAAAAGAATTATACAGACCTATATGATATTTTGAGCAATACAAAAGTACAGAAACAGTAGAGGGATCAGTGATTTGCAAGGCCTAGGGAAGAAAGGAGGAAGGGTTGATCAGGTAGAGAACAGAGGAAATTTAAGGCAGTAAACTGTTTCATAAGGCACTACAATAATGGATACAAATCATTATGCATTTTCCAAACCCATAGTGTTCACACTGAGAATAAACCTTAATGCAAACAATGAACTGATAATGATGTGTCAATGTACCTCTGTATATTACAAATACTCCATTCTGACATAGGATATCCTGATAAGGCAGTAAGTTGCTTGTGTGTGAGAAGGGTGGGTGTATAAGAGAACTCTACTTTCTCCATAATCTTCCTGTTAGTCTAAAACTGCCAAAAATTTTTTATTTGTTTTTAAAAAGAAATTACCTCTTCCTCTCACTCAGAAAAATTTGATTATTTACTATGAATGCTATCTGGATATGAAATAATCATCTCAAACTCAACATAGCCAATACTTAATTCTTGGTTTTCAGAAATTTCTTCTAACAATCTTCCACATTTTGCTAAATGACTACTTCTTTCTCTCAGTTGCTTAGTTAAAAATCATTGGCATCGTCCTGAACTTTCTTCTGTTACCTCATACTTTCAAATAATCAGGAAATCTGATCACTAATCCTCAGCTCCAGCATTACACTACCTCAATACAATTCTCCATGACCTCTCTTCTAATTGGTCTGTCTTCTGTACTTACACTTTATTCTCTGCACAGTTAGATCTGTGTAAGATCTACAGTTAAGATTACTCTCTCTCTTTAAAGTTGCTAATGGCTATACTTCTCACCTTTCAGTGTCTTCACAAAGCCAGTGCAAAAGCTCTATGAGATTTTCCCACCTTCCTACACTGCTTCTTGCTTAGCTGACCCTGTGGCTTATCATTCACTCCACGCTATTCTTAGCTACCAGAACTATTTTGCTACTAACAGCAAATAGTCTCAAAAAGGTCCTACTTCATTAATTTTGCACTTGCTTTTTTTATATTACTAGAAACTCTTCCTCTAAATAAATGATCGTCTTCTGTCCTAAGAGCCTGTGTTGACAGTGAAGCCTTCCTTGAACCCCACTGTCAAACATACTGCATTCTATCACATATGCATACTTGCTGTGGTTCCCCTAGTCACATTATCTGCTTTGTATTTCTCCAGAAAGATACAATACTATATGATATATTTCTACAGTACATGTGACTGTGTGTGTGTGTGTGTGTGTGTGTGTGTGTAGTCACGCATCATCTACCAGTTGGGTATATTTTGAAAAATGCATCTTTAGTAAATTTTGTTCCTAGGCATGCAAAATACAGTATACTTACAGAAGTTTATATGGTATAGATCATCACTTAACATGACCTCTTGATATACTCAATAATACAGTAAACACAAGATTTATGAAGTTACTGCCAGAGTAAACCAACATGCTATTTTACAGTAATTTTGTTTTTTCTAAATTGAAGTTCCACACTCTAAAATAATGATTAAAAGTATATCGTGATAAATTCAATAAATACAATCTGCAGTGAAGTAAGCTTGTTTACACTAACATCATCACAAATGTTTGAATAATGCATGTGCCACAATGTCATGATGTCTACTACATTCCTAGATAATAGTAACTTTTCAGCTCCATTAAAATTTTATAGGACTATTGTCATGTATTTGGTCCATCCCTGTACAAAACATCATTATGTGATATCTGTCTGCATACAAATGATTATATATATTTATATACATATATATGTATCTTATATTTTTTATATTTTACTTATATTCTGCCTCCTTCAAATAAAAGGTAAGATACTTGATGGCAGAAATGTCTGACCATGTATTATTTCTTTATTCCATGTTGTAATCTCACTGCTTACAATATTCCCTGACAGGGGCTGGGGATTTAGCTCAGCGGCATAAGCACCTGCCTTGCAAGAAGGCAGTTGTGAGTTCCATCCCTGGTACCAATAAAAGACCAAAAAAAAAAAAAAAGATATTCCCTAACTATTGACAGATACATAAATACTAGTTGACTAATTGAATAAAAACTTACAGTGTGGCGGTTTGGCATCCAGCACTGAGAAACAGCACTAAAACCTAGCACATTTACGATTAACTTTTAAACATGACACTTTCTAAATAGGAAAGGCTTTAGAAAAACTTTGTAACTATTTGAGGTAAGCAGCATAGCTGAAATGACTCCCTTTTTTGCTAGCATTATTAGACCTGAAAAATCCATTCTAATTTTAATTTAGAGACTAACTTAAATTCCACTTAAGAATAGTAGCATTCAAACAAACCACACCTGAAGAGATTTTCTTCAGCTTTACCTACTTTTACCTTTAAATTTGTTTTTTGTCATTTTTTCCTTTTCTTTCAGGGTCTATATTTTCACTCTGCCCTACTTTTCTTCTCCAGTACTCTATTACATCAATTATGTCCTCCAAGCATTAATTGCATCTTTAATCACTTCCCCTTCTCTACCAGAATTTTCACCTCACAGATACTTACATTGTCTTGATTTCTTAAAATCTTCAAACTTTAGTCTTTTTCTTTCTTTGTCCTTTGACAACAATTTATCAATAAAAGTAGTTGATTTTCAATACCTACATGTCCTAACCACCACTGCTCAAAGAATTATTTCTTAAGCAGCATTCATATCAAAAATCTCCTGGAATTTTTTCATGCCCAGATTAAACAACCTGAAATAGTAATTTGATGAGTTTCTCTTGGGCAAGAGGAATGAAACATAAGTATGTTGGTTTAACCAGTTCCCTAAGAGAATCTAACACACACACCAGATTAAAGAAGCATTACCTCAATTACCTTTTTTTCTAGTCATGATGATGATAATAAACTATCAACTGAGAAATGGTAATTAAATCAACTCTCTTCACTTGACACACCCCAAAACCAAAAAGAAAACCTCCTGATCATCAAATCCAAGTGTCTTCTCTCCACACTTTACAAGATATGACACTACTAGCTTTAAGTATACTCTACCCTTAAAGTCAACATTAGAGAAGAAAATAGAAATTTGATGTGGAAATCAAAGGTGAGGAAAGATCTAAGAATAAAGATACAATGGATTGATTTGGAATATTTTTTTGATGAGCGGGTCTAGAGCACAGAAGATGTAGAATTTAAAGCAATTTTCAGAATCAAGCAAAGATGCAGGATAGATAACAGCAAGCTACAGAGGCTCCCTAAGATAATCAACTTAGAATTCAACATAATACATCATGGGGAGTCCTGAATAGAGGGAGATGAATTCTCTCATCCTAAGAAGAAACTAAGGTGAGAAGAACCACAAACATACAGCCCTAGTGCTACTATTGGAACAGCTAAAGAGGTTCAGTGCTCCCACTGCAGTGCCCGAACTCATGCAGCGGCGACTTACTGAGCTGTCCTAAATCCCACTGCTTCGACTCACTGGAAATACAGTCACACTGAGGTTGGGGGTCAGTGAGCCAAATGGAGAGCTGAGCATGCAGGGAACCTGCATCTACCTGTGGAGAGTGACAGGAATAAAACCATTCCACAGAGGAAGGGGCTCCAACAGATGACATTCTGGGACCAGGCAGGACTGGCAAGAACAAGGGGCAGCAGTGACTTCAATCAGTTGTCCCCATCCCGAACAAGATTGGTGGAGTAAGCTAGGCCTGGGTCATGCAACCTGGCTAACCCCAATAGGTTATCTGAAATCAATTCCCTACGACAGCGGCAGACATGAACACAGTGAAGGCCTCAGCATGTTGACTGACCCGGAGGTAAGGCAGCACACACTAATACAGTAAAGGCCTCAGCAGATTGACTGACCCAGAGGGGAGGCAGCCAGCATATGCTGCCCCTGTTTGCAAGTCACCAGCACATTGCAGTGGGAAGGGTCACCTAGCCAGCATGCTTCTAAAGAATTGTAACCAATAAAGAAAGAAACTGGAAGAAGAAAAAAAGAAGCAAAAAAGATGGGAAGAGGAAGCAACAAGAAAAAGTCACCAGGTCCCATCCCTGAGAACACATAAATACAGATAAATACAAAGGAGAATGATGACAGCAAACATGCAATATCAGACACGGTACCAGCAGACATAAAGAGATATCTTTGGGACCTCATAGATGAGTTCAAAAGGGAAATATTTAGCCAAGTAAAGCAAGATTTAAGAAGATTAATAAAAGAGATGCTAAGCACCCCTCAAGAAGACACAGATGAAAGAATGGAGGAACAAAGGAGAGAACCATTCGATGAAGAATATAAAGAAAATATAGAATACATGAAGTGGATTCAAAGAGATGACCAGGAAATTAAAAACTATGGAAAGATGACAAAACCGCTTGAAAGAAACTAAAGATAGATTATCCAAACTGGAGGACAGGTTTGCAATGTGGGATTATGAAAAGAAAAAAATTTTAAAAATAACAAGGAATCAAGCAGTAACAATACAAAGGCTAGAAGATGACAAGAGGATCTATAACTTGAGAATAAAGAATGTAAATGAAGAAGCAGGGGTACAAACAAAGGAACTACAAAGGCTATTCACAGAAATAATTAAGGAAAACTTCCCAAGCATAGGAAAAGGAAATGATATTCAGATGTATGATGCATACAGAACTCCAGCCACCTACAACCAAAACACAGCTATACCCAGGCATATAATAATCAAGATCCCAGAAACTCAATATAAGAATAGAATACTAAAAACTGTTAGAGACAAGAAACAGATAACCCATAAAGGAAGACCATCAGAATAATGGCAGAGACAAGAAACACATAACCTACAAAGGAGGGCCCCTCAGAATAACAACAGACTTCTGGACACAAACCATCAAGTTAAGAAGAGCCTGGAGCAAAATATTCCAAGCCCTGAAAGAAAATAACCTCCAACCCAGATTGATATACTCTCCTAAACTGTCTCTAGAAATTAATGGGCAAACAAGATTCTTCCAAGACAAAGAGGAACTTGGAAAATTAACGACCACCAATCCAACTTTACAGAGAATAATGCAGGGCATTATATATATATAGAGAGAAAAGTACTAGGATTCCAGGAACAGTGGCAGAGAGGCCTCAATGAATGGAGCAGAAAACAGAATGAAGAAGAAAAGCAGACAACTGATGGCAAAAAAAGAGCATAACAGAAATGAAGCAGAGAAGGTTGGTTATAATCTCTAATATAGATGGACTTGATACACTAAATTTAAAAAAAAAAACACATGTAGAGTAGATCAGGAGGTAGGGTCCACCAAGGTGCTATTTATAAGAAATATAAATAACATGAAAAAGAGTAAGTACATGGACTGAAAATCAAATATGAGAAAACAATGCTGTATATGACAAGAGAACCAGAGAGTAATAGGGGCAACTAGACCAGTATTTGTGGATAGGTTGGAAAGACAGGCTTTAATAGGTAAAGGAATACAATTAGAGATCAAGTCCAGGAGAGAGAAGGTTTGGAACCACTTAGGTAAACAGCAGGTTGCCTCCCCCCGGCGGTAATTTAAAACCAAGGGTCTTGGTGAGACCCAAAAATGTACAGCATACCCTGGAGAAATGAAAGGGGAGGGAGAATCTTAAAAAATATTGCAGAAGATATTGTTAATAGTGTATCAGGATTTAAAACCCGTATTACTCTCACCACTCTGCTTAGGTAGATTTTATGCTGTCCCAGTTTGTCTACTTGCATTAGATTTGAGGGCACAGACAGCTATCCCAAAAACATCAGGGTATAGGACAGTAATCATCTTTAATTTCCTATTAACTTAATCTGGAGCCCTGTATGACTTATACTAGTTTATTATGACTGATTTTAGTTAAATCTGGTTTGTTTGACTGCTGTTTGGTATTGACAAATTTTATTCAAAACTGATATGATTGGCAGTATCAAGTCTGAGAGTACAGGCAACTACAGTAAAGATGACAAGACACTATGATACACATTCTGGTTTGATTACTGCCTGTTTTTGAAGTTTTATACTAGATACAAAGTTGTGTTTTTATTAATACTGTTATGTACTGATATATTCAATTATACTATGTCTGATGATATAGCCAATTCTATTGAAGATAAAAAGAGACCACACAGGAACTATGGTAGAACTCCTTGTACAATGGTCTTATATGTCTTTTTTTGTTTCATGTGTTTGCAGGAATATGTTTTGTTTTGTCTTGCTTTGTTTTCTCCCTCTAATATAGAAAGGATAGAAATACATGTTAAGACTCATGCATATATAGAACCTATAAACAGTTTATGAGAACTGATCTTATGACACATGAGAAAATGAACAAATACTTTGAAGAAAAAGAGACACTAAAGTACCCAGTGCTGATCCTGGGGTATCATAATGTGAAACCCAGCAATAGTATTATTCTTTGTTCAGAGTGATATTAGCCTGCTTGGGTTTGTTCAATCTCATAATTGAAGGTATGGGTAACTGCATGTATGTTTAAATGTATAGGATTGATAATCAGTATTTTGTTGGATAGTTGAACAGATCTGTTTGGAGTCTCACTGTTTGAATTCCCACTTTGTATGTTCCACTTTTGTATCTTGAACAACTATTTGTAAGAGGACACTATGTAAACATCAACTAGTGATTTCTTACTGTTTATTTTTTCTTTGAACATATGTATTATTACTACCCATTTTCTGTTTTGTTTAGTCTTTCTTTAAATAAAGTTTAAAAAATAAAAATAAAACAATTTTCATGGACTTATCCAATGAGTCTAACATTTTATTTATAAAAACTGAGTATGAACTTGAACTGTTTGGGGTGGACAATAGTTAATGTTATTTAAAAATGTGACATGCACAAAAAGCCCCCTTATGTTTAGGTAGAGTGGTGAAAAATTATGTGAGGGAAGAAAAATAAAAGTTACTAGTAACCACAATAGGTTGTTTGCAGTAAAAGAAACCAGGACTAAAGCATAGTCAGTTGTGACTCATTTTTAGACTAAAGAATCAGTTCCATTCTTTTATAAAATGAGTGATCATTTTCAATGGGTGAGTCCATTTAGGAGATGCAAATTAGTGGTGAAGATGAGGAGACTCAGTGAATCTGGTGAGGAGAAGTTAGAAGTTAATTCTTCTTACATGCCAGAGATCACTGAAAGAACAGTTATACCAATGAACTTGAAAGAGATGTCAAAGATAAAATTTCAGAAATGGTCAGAACACAGCTATCAGGAAATAAGGTAATGCTAAGAAACCCATTAGCTAAGGGCTCAAACTACCTTGAGATTTAGAAGTATAATACAAATAATTAAGTTATAGCTCCCTTTATTTATATTAGTCTTCAGAGACTAGCATCTGGCAAAGTGGCTTTATTTGTAGTAATTTCTAAATTCCAGCAGTATCCTATTTATGTCTTCCTACAAATGGTTGATTTTCTGTTGTGTGTTGATTTTTCACTAGATTTGGTATCAGAAGTTAGAGTTTTTTAAACTTGGATTTTTGCTGATCCTTATTTTCCCTTTATCTGCAAAACTTTTTCATTTCTTTTATAAGAATAAACAATGCCAAGTACATAGGAATGTAGTTTTGCCTTCACCTCCATATTGGAATAATATTGCCCAAAAAATAAATACAACTTCAAAATTCATAATTTCTATTATCACATGAACTTTATGCAAAATGAACTATCTTTCTAATAGAATTTAACATCTATGATGTCTAATCACATGCAAAGAAGCCTTGCATATTTTGATAACACAGAAAACTGAAGTTCTGGCAACAAGATAGAGACAAAGTCAACAGTATCGATTTAACACAAAAGATGATGATTAATTTGAAGTGGTCAAATTTTTACAATACTTGAACTAGGCTGAATACTGAATGATGAATAGGAGTTCATCAAGCACTGGAAAAGAAAAATTCATTCTTGAAATCCCACTGCCACGTTTGGTAATGTTTTCACCACAAGCCTTAAAATAACAGGAAAGAAAAGAAAAAAGAGTAAAATAAAAATAAAACAAGAAAATATTCTATCACTTAGTACCTGAGTTGAAACAATCATATGATTAACTGTACTTCAGATCTTAGAGTAAATGTTTATAAAACGAGATTGACAATCACGGGAAAGGGGTGGAGGAGGAGGAAATTCAACTTGTTTTGTTGTATTAAGTTAAAATAACTGAGTAAAAAAAGTCTATGCTTAGTAACACATATATCATGTTTTGTAAGAGATTTTAAATGGAAAATGAAAGCCTATGGACCTTTATCCAATACCATAATTATTTTCTCTAGTGTTTTGTATCCCTAATGCCATTTTCAAAGGTTCCTAAGTGAGTCTGCCTAAAACTTTCACTGCATCCCCCATACTCCGTAAACTCTCTTGAGTGAAACAGTACTTAGATCCTTCAAAGTCTGGCTTTACATGACTATCATAATAGGAATAATTTAGCTCTAAGTCGTGTCACTTCACCTAATTCAACCACCATTATTCAACTAATTTTCTTTGAATTCTATTAGTTTTGCTTTTCTAAGGAACTAGATAAGCTCTGTAGGTACAATCAGAAAACCAGTAGTTGCAGTCAGAGCTCGAGCGCACGCGCACGCACGCACGCGCGCGCGCGCACACACACACACACACACACACACACACACACGCACACATATCCCCATCTGGGCCGTTTCAACACTGATCAAAAGCCATAGACCAGGAAGAAGAAAAAAGCTGAAGCGGGAAGGTTGTTCCCTTCCTTTCACTCCCCCATGTACCCCCACCCCCGCCCGCCAGATCCTCAGCCCCGCAGGGCCTCATCGCGACTCGGCAAACACCCTCCCTACACATACACACATACACACACACACACAAACACATCCGTCCCCGCTGCCGCCCGCCACAGCCTACAAAACAGTCACAGCCTTTGTTAAAATGTCCAGGAGCACAATGGACTAGAAGAGGGACACATTCTGGGGGGTGGGGTAAAGTCACACAAACGCCACACCCTCCTTGGCACTAACCCAGGCCAACAGCCCACCTCCACTAAATCCTCTCCCCAGAGTCAGGGAATGTTCCCGGCAACTCAGCAGTCAGAAGGCAGAGCAGGGGAAAGGAATGAGCCCGGGACGTTGCTCAGGGGCAGGAAACAGGGGAACTGAACTTGAAGCTAGGACATCTTCCAGCTCCCCTTGGCTAGCCTCCCAGTTCTGCCAAGCCCGGGTGCAGACTTCCAGTCTCTGGAACTCCTTCCTTCTTTTTCTCAAACACACCCTCGCCTGCTCCCGCCTCAGCGCACTCTTCTCCGCACGCTGCCCCGCCGGACATCCTCAGGCAGTGCCCCCACCAATGCTACAGCACGCCTAGTCAGTCCCTCATCCCACACACGCTCGGATTCTTCCCGGGCGCCTAGCTCGGACCAGGTTCCCCAATCATTTCCCTAGCGCTACGCTGCTACCCCACTTACCACGGGTCCCACTCCGCTATTCCGCGCTCTGGGAGTTGCAAAAGACGACTGTGGCTCCCACAACTGCCGAGCTTAGCGGGCGCCGGGAGCCGCCTGGAAGGGAGGTGGGAAGCCAGAGGTTGGACTGGGGCGGGGTTAGGAAAGAAGGGGCAGGGCTAGGAAGGGTGGGAAAAGAGGGGCGGGGCCAGGCTGGGTGGAAAAGGGAAGACTGGAGTTTTTGCCGCCTCCACTGCCTCTGCAGGCAAGACCAAGAGTCTGAGCATGTGGCTGGAACTCTCCACTCTTGATGCCTATTTATAACACAGAAAAGTCCACGAAGCCTCTCTGTGTGCTCCCATGTTCATCCTCCAGCAAACTTAGTTTGCAAGGAGCCAATCGGTCGGCCTTTGGTTCAGCATATCTCTCCTTCAAACCAGAGAACCCACCAGCATTTCTCCCTTTCACCACACATTGTGCCTGTTGCAACACACACTGTTTTCATTTGTCATTTCTCATTGAGAATAGTGTTCATCCTATGTGGCAGTAGGGGCTGGGGCGGGATTTCTCATCCACAGTGCTGATGCAGGTCAGTGTCTCAGTCTGACTGTGATTGCTGACTAGCCAACCATTGCCCGAGGACACAGTCTTACAGCTCTTTGTGCATAATTTTGAGGCACAACAAGCTTTTGTGCTGTGTCTTCTACTATAATAAATTTTTAAAATATTTTTTAAAAGAGTGTTGAAGGAACCTACTCAAATACCTTGGAAAGGAGAACACGAACAGTCAAATAGGGTCACCTGTGACTTTTCTAAACAGCTACTTTACAGTTTGAATCTTAAATTTCTAAAAGGCCTGCTTAGAAACAGAATATAAGGTTTTGCTGTATATATGGACTTTAATCAAATGGTTGAAGATTTTTGTGGAATTTAGTATTTTAGGAAGTCTAACATTATTCCAAACTGTGTGGAATAAATTTTATGCTTTTCAGTTTATACTTGGTTCCGCTGTGGCATGGTATCTCACGTGCCTTCCGATTAGCCATTAAAATAAACACACACTTCCCTGAATCTAAAGTGAATTGGAGTGGGCTTGAAGTGATTTATTCCAAACTGTTTTCTCCTTATTTTTACTTTAGAAATAACAGAATTATTTTTAAAAATATTTGGCTTAATAAAAGAATTGCAAGAGGGCCAAACCAGTAAGCTTTCCTAGCAAGTATTTTGATTGTGACTGGGGCATTTTATGCCATTGAAAATCTTCTATTTTGAAAGTCTGCCCATTAAATTTTGTTGTTCCTCCATTTGTGTGTTTTACAAAGCAGGCTTTTGTAAATGTATTTCTATTTTGCATTTATCAAATGAATTTAAGGAGATTGTAAGAAGGATAATTGCACATAGGTATGTTGGAAAATGCAGATACAGGTTTTGCAGGATGAGTAAATCTATAAATATGGGGAAGTAGGATCTGCATTTCACTAGTAAATTTCCTCATACAGAGGTGCTTTAAACCAGATGTGACTCATCCCTGTGATCTCAGCATCTGGGAGGCTGAGGCAGGAGAATCACTGTCAGTTCAAGATCAGGCTGGGCCACAAAATGAACTTAAAGCCAGCCTAAACTGCATAGCAAGACCCTGTCTCAAAAAGACGAAACAAAACCTTTAAAAATAGTAGTTTAGTAAAGGTAACTTTCACACTTTTCATAGATGTATATATGTAGGTTTTAAACTTTTAATTTGATTTCTGGGTTAATTTTCTATGCGTTTGCCTAAAATTTTCAAGTTATTTTGATAGTAGTAACAAATTCTAAGTTGAAGTAGTTTAGACAAAAAAAGAAAGTTATTGTGTAACCCAAGTTGTGAAAGGGTAGGTCTATTATTGGCTCAGGGAATAAGTGGAACCAACAACTAGAATGTTTCAAATTCCAACCCAGGCTACATCTTATCTCTCTGGACAGTGTCATTCTTTCAGAACCTCCCAAAGTCACATTCTACAGGCTGAGAAACATAGCCTCTGACAAGTTGTGGAATCATGCCTACCTAGTTGATACCAAGACAAAAAATTGTTCCTCTTCCCTTACTTCCAGTTTTTAAAATACCAGATATAATCTGATTGGGTTTGGATTGAAGATAAACATTCTTGAAGATAAAAATGTGTGTGAGACAAGACAGAAGACATGGACCTGCAGTAGAATAACATGCGGTTGGGAAAAAAGAAAAAAATCCTATATGGAAACAAAGAGCAAAAGGAAATGCTGTTTTTGTAAGAAGAAAAAAGTACTGGATGTACCAAAATAAACAAACAAAACTTAAAAATATTTACTATGAAACATCTTTGTTTAAGAACTGTAGTCTTAATATTGCCTTTGACCTCTCTATTTCCTTTTTATATTTGAGTATTTATGAATCTTCCTAACAATATATCTTTATTAACTTTCTATGGATGCTGCATAATAACTACCATAAATTGCCAGGTGTTGTGATGCATTCCTGTAATCCCAAAACTCAGGAGGATGAGATGGGAGGGTCACAGTTTTTAGGGCAGCCCAGGCTACATAGAAAGATTCTGTCTCAAAAAGTAAATTATCACAAATTCAGTGACTTAGAACAGCATACATTTATTGTCTCACAGTTTTGGAGATCACAAGTATAAAATAATCACACTGTGTCAAAAGTGAAGTAACACCAGAGTGAAGTTTCTTTCTGAAGGCTCTTTGAGAAGCTATTTTTAACTTTTCCAGATCTAGACACTTCACAATTCCTTTCATCTTCCAGAATCATGATCCCTTTCTATTTCTAAATTAACCATAATATTACTCTGACACTGACACCTCTACCTACGTTATCCAACTTTAAGGACCCTTGTGAATATATTTGGCCAATAAAATAATCCAAAATAATTTTGGCATCTTAATATCAGCTAATTGTTAACCTTAATTGTATCTATAACTTTAATTCTTCTTTGTAATGTATGATATATTTTAACAGATTCTGATATTAACCTACAGGTTAATATCTATAGGGAAATTATTATCCCCAATATAATATTTTCATATACATACTAAAGTCTATGTTATTGCTTACAAAATGGGACTTTTTTAAAGTTACTGATTTCAGGGTCATACTACTAAATATCATGAGCTAATTGATATGGAAAGTACACACACACACACACACACACACACACACACACACACAGCTAATTCAATCACAGTGGAGCATCACATTAATCCTGGAGCAATCATAGAACTTCCCTGGATATTTAAAATAGGAAAGGGAATTGGTAACACCAAGTATTTACATATCCATTTTGTAGAGTTAGAATCAGAATAATTAGAGAAAACAACATTAGAGGGTTGGGAAAGACAGAAAGGAAAAAGAGAAAGGCGTTGGACTTGAGCGTGGATCCTCAAAGCTTGTCTGTCTCATGGTTACAATGACATTGTTACACTTGGATTCCATGAGAAATCACTGAATACACATTAAAAAGTGTCTTATTTTTAAAAGCTATCTTTAGTTGCTTTATCTTGTATAAACACAAAAATGTTTTAATTAGTATACAACATGAGTAAATTTTCCTTAATTACTTTTTTAAAAATGTATGTCTCTTATTTAACAAATAAGGTGGCTTTGAAAATCTAACTGATAGACTTGGCATTCTTCATCTTTGCTCTATTTTACTGGAAGCTCATCTCCCAGTTATCCCATATTCTTGTATTCATTTTTGCCTCTTAATAGTTATTCAAAGGTCTGGAAGAAGCACCCTGCAATAGTTCAACTTTCCCTTAGTCACACCAAGCATGTGTATGCACAACTGTTTGCTTGACTGAAGTAAAGTCAATATTAACCATTTGCAAATCCACTTGCTCTAAATTCTCTCCTAACTTTCAAATATATGGTTAGATCGTTCTTACTTGGGTTTAAGACAAGAAACTCATTTTTTCTTCTAAAACCTGTCTTTCTTCTCACATTTTGTTCCTTGTTTATGAAAACACCATGCATCCCACTACCCACATTCAATATGATAAATCACTCATTTTGCATTTGTCTATTAACTCTATGTCTTATATGTTCTGCATATTAATTCCTATTTTCTTCCTCATTCCTGATTAAGGATGCTTAATCACCTGAGCTACAACAGGATCTTCCAATCAGTTTAATTTCCCTGTCTTCAGCTCTTCTAAATCCAATCTAACCTTCTCAAATTTGCCAATTACCTTTATAAATGCAATCAAATCATTGTACTGCTTAAAAACATTTTAGTACTCCTGTTCATTCTTCATTTTAACATGAAATATAAACTCCTAAAGCAAAGTCACATCATCTTGTTCTATCACATCATTGCAAATGCATTCCCCTATCCATCATATACATATATGCTATGGTATCTTTATTTGCCTTATATTGTCTTTTATTTTGGTAACATAATCTTATTTGCAGAAAAGTACAAATACCACATGGAATTAGGAAACATTTCTAATTTATATACATGATATTATGAATCAAAGTACCAAAATTAGTTTTAAAGAATCACAAACTAATAACAACATCAAAAAAGGCAATAAATCATTTCAGGAAAGTCCTGAAAATTCCCATAGAAGCAAGTACCTAGCTTGGAGTCAATAGTTAAACTTCAGTTGCACAACAGGTTACATTCACTCCTGCATTTTATCAGTTACTTATGTTTACTTTTCCCCCAACTAGTCCAACACTGAATTTGTGTTCAAGAATTTTTTCCTTATCTTTCCCCATTTTAACTTCATGTTAACCACCTTGTTCAGGTGACTGCCTCCGTGGACAGACTTCTCAAGCTGTGCCCACTCTATGTATATGGCACATTTCTTTTTGTGCCCTTGGGTACTTCTACCACCTCTTAATACCACCACATTCAGGAGCAAGCTTGGAGTACATGAAACTTTGAGGGGCACATCACAAACCATACCATTGGGATAGAGAAATAGGTAGATAGATAAATGTGATAAAGTGTGATAGGGTGAAGTTTAATGATATTTGTAGAATTCAGATGGTGAATATTCACTATGCAATTCTTGGCACTCTTCTGTACAATAGAAAAGGATTTTGGTAAAATTTCAGGGAAATACTCAGGAAAATGTAGTGTACTTAAGAAATGTTATCATTTGCTTTTTCCA